TATTCAGAACTTATGTACAAAAAACCGTCTATATAGACACGAGCCATAAAAGAAAATCACAATTTTTCACCACGATGGCAAGCTTACCTTCTGAGAAGGGTGAAATCAGAAAATATCCGACTTGAACCGGTGAAATGGCGTTTCGTGATTCGGTTATAGCATCATCTTCGAAGAAAATCTCGGAAGGCAGGACATTTGGCGATTCTCAGGCAAATGGAGTAGTTTGGGTCGATCACCCCCATTAGCAGATGGCACCAACGAATCCAAATTTGATCTGATCTGCCACAAGGCGAAATGGCGTTCCTCAACACACCACTCTTACACACAACCGAACCCCTCCAGAATTTGACCAAAAGTGCCTAACCTAATTAGATAGTCTCGTTTCTGACTTGCCTCCCTCCACAAGCAAATTTGACATGGTCACATTTTAGTGTTGTTCATGAATCCACGGTAAACGTCAAACGCGAATGACGTCATGGTTAACCAGAGCCAAATCTGAAGAAATTTTGAAATTTCACCTGGCAACACTGTTTCATTTCTGCAGAAAGAGACAGACAGTCGCAGGAAATCGACAGATGATAAGCATGCTGAAAAGTGACAACACCTGACATATGGACAGTGTCTATACATGATTATAACCTATCAAAAAGAAAATTATTATTCAAAATGATCAACACATGATCGGGAAATCTCTATACAGAAAACCTCAGAGAACCTCCCAACTATGATTGAAATATCAAACCAGATATATCGAGCAGACCCAGTAGCATATCAAATTCCTATAAAATGGTAAGGGAGAAAATTTATTTGATATTATATAGGTAGGGTTTGAACCATCACCTACTTTATTTCAGTTCCGGAGGAAATTGCTAACTGTGGATATCAAAAAAAGATCCCAGCCGAATAATACGAAGCTATATTTGAAGAGACCAGAGATAGATAAAGATTTTTACCATCATCACATCATGATGTTTTGACGGACCTTCTATGGGAAATAAAATCATAGGATTGTCATGTTCTCCGAATATAATATTGATAAAAAAACCTACATTGTGAACGGTAGGTTTTATAAAATGGCTAGAATAAAGAAGTAAAGAAGTGAGGTTTACCTAGTTGATTTTGTTTGTTTAATTATCCATTAATTAGGTTTCTGATTTATGTGGTAGATAAAATTTGTATAAGAGACTTCCTAGGGTAAAATAAAAAGTTCAATTCCCAACATACACCGATATCCTGGATTATTGTATATAATACTAGAGGCTAAACTACAAATCACCTTCACTGAATAACATATTATAGTATATCAATTTGCTATACAAGGCGATCCAGAAAAATGATTAGTGAAATATTGACTTATTCTATTGCACTTGAATCTTGACTGATCTATTTGAAAATTATATATACTCAAAATATAGTATAGCAAAAATTAATGCTACATCATTCCTCTCCTACATGAAATAAAATGGTCTATTTTATTTTTAAGAATTTATCTGAATGTTTTGAGTTGGTATCTTTGTGTATCACCCATCTTTATTTAAAAGAATACTTAATCGGTTTGAACAAAATTTAGGAAAAGTCTACGTCGGGAATTTCGAAATTGGGGAAATGTCCTTCAAAACATCAGGGTGATTATAAGGGACGACTATGATTAATATCCTATTGATACTTATAGCTAATAATAAATATACAATTTTCTCGAATAGTAACATCATTCTTTTTGACTTAGAAATGAGATACTGAGGGGTTGAGTTAGTTTTGGTACCGGTACCGAAATGTTTTTTTCATATATATGGCATTCCAGCCAATAATAAGGGTTTCAATGAGTAGTGGATTCAGTTGAAACTGAAAACAGGCCTGTTAACACCAATTATAAGGGGAAGTCTCAAGTTTCGCACTAAATCTTGAAGAAGCATCAGACAATATTTTATTTCTTCTCCATACCTTGTCTCCGACATTGAGAGAAAAATCTCTTTTTCTCAAATTATACGATTTTGAATTTCTTAAATAAGCTTTATGTAATTTTTCCCTAACTTCCTGAAAAACAACTGTACTGATATATCCTCTACAAATTCAGTTCTATTTCTCGGATTCAATTCAAAATCTTCTGTATCTCTTACCCTTCCATAGTAGTCACCGGAAACTGGTACATGTCTACCGAAATTAAGAAAGGCTGGCTCGTAATTATGAACTTCATGACAAGCAGTATTTATTGCCTGTTGAATCTTAGCTAACTCCTTATCCCAATCTTTGTGTTCCGTGATATAGCTACGAATAGCCTGACCTACAGTTTTATTATTCCTTTCAACAAAATTACATTGTGCAGAAAACCTGGGAGTGTACCAGATTTTCTGTACGTGATACTGATCAGCCAACTTTTTGAAAACTTTTCCAGCGAATTGTGGACCGTTGTCACATATTATAAATTGCGGTACACCATAAACAAGAAACACTTGATTTTTCATCAATTTCACTACATTAGTGGCGGTGGCATCACGCATGGGAGAAGTAATGTAAATTTGGTTAAGAAATCAGCAACAACTAGCACATACGTGAATCCTCTCGAAGAAAAGGGAAATGGTCCCATGATGTCAACTGCAATGATTTGAAAAGGAAATCTAACAGACTTTTCCGCACCCATCAGTCCCATACGAGCTGTATTAGAGCTGTATTAGACAGCTTTTGAGCTTGACAAACTTTGCAGAAACGAACATACTTCTGCACGTCACGCCTCATCTTCGGCCAATAGTAGTGAAGTTGAATCCTACAGAGGGTTTTCTAAAATCCAAAGTGAGCACAGACTGCATATTTCTGAGATTTAGGAATAACTATTTTCCATTCATTTTCGTTAGACTTCATCAGGGATTTAGAGGGAATAAACTTATACAGGACTTCATCGATAACCTTCCACTGGGGATATAACTCGGGATTTCCAGTTATTTTATTTCTCAACGACGTATACCAAGTGTCAGCATTATCTGGTTGAACTTCAAGCAAACAAACTTCCTGACCATTCTGTGAACCGTTCTCTTGTACGATGCGAGATAGACAATCTGGGACCACATTTGAGGAACCTTTTCTATGGAAAATGTCAAACGAATGTTGCCGTAACTTCACAGACCACCTAGCCAACCTACCGCAAGGGTCCTTCAATTTGTTGATCCATAATAAACTGCTTTGGTCGGTGAATACTTTGAAATGTGTTCCCTCGACATATGGTCGGAACTTTTCCAGCAGGAAGATGAGACTGAGCAACTCCCGCTCAGTGACAGTGTAATTGCGCTCGGCCCTAGAGAGAGAACGAGATGCATAAGCAATCACCCTTTCCTGGTTGTCAATTTCTTGAGTAAGTACTCCACCTACACCAACGTCACTGGCATCATACTGAATAGAAAACTGTTCAGTAAAATCTGGGGGACAAAGAATGGGTACGGAAACCAGAGCTTCCTTAACTTTTATGAACGATGACTCAGCTTCTGCTGCCCATTGGATTGGATGTTTCTCCTTCTTACCCTACAGTAATGACTTGATTGGAGCCATCAATGTGGAAAAATCATGAATAAAGCGACGATACCACGAGCACAAACCTGTGAAACGTTTAATCTCAGTACTATTCTTCGGACGGGGATAATTGACCATGAAGGAGATTTTATCAGGATCGGTACTAGCTAAGGTCCTACGATGGTCGATACTTCCCCTTCTGAGTAAAAGCAAATCCTTTTGCACAGGCATAGAGTAAGTAGAAATAAAGAGATTCAGGGGCAGACCCACCCCTGAAACCCGCGGAGACACCCCCACCCCCTTCTCGAAGGCGTGGTGCGCACAGTTGCATATAAATATTATTTTCTCAAAAACGGTGAAAGATAGAGAATTGCGATTTACGCCATTCGAAAGAAAATTGAATTTTACATCTGATAGATATTTTTTGATTGATCAAAAATCTCAATGTCAGCTCCCAATAAAAAATATATGGGAGGAGGGAGTTCTAGGCTGTCATGTTTTTCCTCATAACTATTAAACGGTTCAAAGAATCGAAAAATTTGATGAGAGAAAATTTGAGCTTGCAGTTTTTTCTATCGAACGATATATATAAAGTTGAAGATATCTATATAGAGAAGGCATCCAGTGGCGTACGAACACATGCGCGTTTGGTAGAATAATGTGTGAAAAATGATAAAACAAACCTACCTACCTACCGTTGGTGCATGCAACGTGAGAAATGAACATTTTACTATATGACGTGAGAGGAAGAAGTTGATTTACTCATCACACAGACTAATAATGATGTAGGATACTACTTGGATTCAAGAAGGAATGTGGAAAATCTAACAATAAAGGTACAACAATTTAAACATTTTTATTGTAATAAAAACAATCTAAAAGCATTGAAATTGGCTCATCAACTCCGAAAACTACATAAAACAATCTCAGAACATAAAAATTAACTCATCAACTGAAAATAAAATAAAACAAATATAAAATCAGGTACTACAGCGCTAATTGCAGGTACATAATTGTGTACATTTTAATTTCCTCAGGAAACATTTGCATTTATGATCAGAAACTCTACATTGGCAGAATGGCATCCATTTTACTTCTTCCAATGGCCATCTTCATTGGGATCAGATACCTTCAAAACATATGGTAATCCGTTCCAGGAAACATCAACTGAATTATTCGCTCTAGATAGTAGAATTGTCGTGAATGACGAATGTTTGAGTCTGTTATTAGATAAAGGCGTCCATCAATGCAGAGAATTTTTCCATGATAGGTTGATACACTCGAAAAAATCAATTTCTGAACCAATCACTAAATATAATAACATTCCTTTCAAGAATAAAAAAAATAAGCAGAATAAATCGAGAAAAGTGAAAGAATTAAAATCAGATGTTACTTTATTCAGTAGACTTTACGTTGTGTCACAGAATAGAGATGGTGACCTGAAATTTTTTTTCAAATTTGAGAAACATCCTTATCCACCCTCACTCGCTCAACTTGGTCAAATGTACCATGGCACGGAATCAGATTTATTACGATGCTTAGACAAATACATAACAGTTGAGAGTAAACCAACTGATGTTGATGCTGTATTGATTGATGGTGCTGCATTAGTAGGTACATATACTACAACCCAAGGTTTGCTGTACTTCTCAGGAATATATCTCTCTTATTGTAAGGCCTTATATTCTAAGAATTTTAGATACCTCAAAGAGGATTGATGTAATCTGGGATATTTATATCGATAAGAGCTTGAAGGCAAGTACAAGAGAAAAGAGGGGAAAAGGGAAAAGGAAATTGGTAAGAGAAAACACCAGCATTCCACGAAATTGGAATGACTTCTTGAGAGACTCGGAAAATAAGAATCAATTGTTCGATTTAATTTCCAACCACCTCAAAGACATGCCATTACACGAGAATACAGTAGTAGTATGTAATACAATTGAGAAAACACTTTACAATAGTGGATCCATAGCAATCAATAAAATAACTGGTGTTTGCAACCATGAGGAAGCTGATACTCGGATTTTTGTTCATACTCAAAATTGAATGGAAAATAATTTGAAAAGAATCTTGATAAAAACTGTGGATACTGATGTGATCATTCTCGCAATTTTCTATCAGTATCAGCATCAAGAGCAGGATATTTGGATAGAGTTTGGTACGGGAAAGAATATGAAGTATATTTCTTGCGTAGAAATTCCTGATGAATTGAAAGAGAAATGCCTGGGTCTGCCAATGTTTCACGCTTTCACTGGGTGCGATGTAACATCAGCCTTCTTCGGAAAAGGAAAAAGAAAATGTTAGGGAGCATGGTATGTTTTTTCTGTCGTAACAGATGTATTCATAGAGCTGACACTTCGCCCTAAACAACCTGATGAAAATCAGTTACATATATTAGAAAAGTATGTCATATTTTTGTACGATAAACATTCAGAAGCGAAAAACTTAGATGTTTGTCGGATGAACCTATTTACAAAAAAAATAGGTCTATTGAGAATCTTCCACCCACATTCAATGCACTTTCATTACACGCCAGAAGATGCATTTATCAGGGAGGCCATATTTGGGGCAATTTAGCTACTGCTAATTTGAAATTACCGTGTCCCTCCCAATGGGGATGGACATTGGAAGAAGAAAAATGGATACCACTCTGGACAACTATCAAGAACGAAAGATTGGAAACAGATATAATGATTAAATGCCAATGTAAAATTTGTGATCATAAATGCAAATGTTTCCTGAGGAAATTAAAATGTATATGCACAATTATGTACCTGTAAAGAATGCTGCAATTAGCGCATTTTATATATGTTTTATTCAATTTTCAGAGTTGGTGAGTTAATTTTCATGTTCCCAGATCGTTTTATGCAGTTTTCGGAGTTGATGAGTCAATTTTAATACTTCTAGATTGTTTTTATTACAATAAAAATGTTTAAATTGTTGTACCTTTATTGTTAGATTTTCCACATTCCTTCTTGAATCCAAGTAGTATCCTACATCATTATTAGTCTGTGTGATGGGTAAATCATCTTCTTCCTCTCACGTCATATAGTAAAATGTTCATTTCTCACGTTGCATGCACAAACGGTAGGTAGGTAGGTTTGTTTTATCATTTTTCACACATTATTCTACCAAACGCGCATGTGTTCGTACGCCACTGGATGCCTTGTTTATATGGATATCTTCAACTTTATATATGTCGTTCGATAGAAAAAACTGCAAGCTTCATTTTTTCTCTCGACAAATTTCTCGATTCGTTGGGCCGTTTAATAGTTATGAGGAAAAACATGACAGCCTAGAACTCCCTCCTCCCATATATTTTTTATTGAGAGCTGACATTGAGATTTTTGATCAATCAAAAAATATTTATCAGATGTACAATCCGATTTTCTTTCGAATGGCGTAAATCACAAATCTCTATCTCTCACCGTTTTTGAGAAAATAATATTTATATGCAACTGTGCGCACCACCCCTTCGAGAAGGGGGTGGGGGTGTCTCCGCGGGTTTCAGGGGTGGGTCTGCCCCTGAATCTCTTTATTTCTACTTACTCTATGCCTGTGCAAAAGGATTTGCTTTTACTCAGAAGGGGAAGTATCTGACCATTTTTGGGCTCGTAGGCACTATACTATACGGAGACTTTGCCTATCGACTACGAATCCTAGATACTTCAAAGATGTTTTGAAAAAATCAACATTTCTTCATGTTAACAGTTAGATTAGCTTCTTTTAAAATATCTTTGACTTCCGTTGCTCAAAAGTTGAAGAGGTTATGATGATATCATCTAAATAAGTAAAAATATTCGGCTCATATTTAGGCCCAAAAAGAGCATCCACATGCCTTTGCTGTGTCTGGGCAGAATTCATAAGCCCAAAGGGCATGGTACAAAATTGAAAGAGTCCCCTGCCAGGTACACTAAAAGCAGTTTTTTCCTTTGATGTTTCATCCAATGGTATTTGCCAAAACGCCTTTTTCAAGTCTTTGCTTGAGATAAACTTTGCATCACGAAGCATATTCAAAATTCTATCAATCCTAGGAAGTGGGTAACTGTCATGTTTTGTTATTTCGTGCAGCCTCCTACCATCAAAGCAAAATCTATACTCACCTGAGGATTTTTTTACCAACAAAACGGGGCTGTTCCAGGGACTTTTAGATGGTACAACTACCCCCAACTTCAGCATATCATCTAATTCAACATTCAAAATTTTCAGTAAATATGGAGACATCAAATATTGTCTTTCCTTGAAAGGCTTTGCATTTCCAGTATCAATATTCAGAGTTATTTTGTCGGTTCGACCTAATCGGTCTTCACTACAAATTTCTTGAAAGGAGTCTATGACTTTATTCATATTCAATTTTTGTTCTGATGATAACTCATCTAATGAAAATATATCGAAATAATTGGCAGAATCTACTGGTTCTGAAACGGTAGGTAAATTACGATTCATTACGTCACAATGTATTTTCCAAAAAATTTTCTTGAAATCAATTTGAATTTGAAATTGTCTACAGAAATCTGTTCCAAATATAAAGCTATGTGACAAGGAGGGAACAACAACCGCGGAAACAATTTGTACATAATCTCCAATTCTCACTGGCAAGTCGGCTACCCCCTGTATGGATCTCTCTGTACCATCTACAGTAAAAACATTCCTATGATCTGAGGGGAATATTTTTAATTCAAGATTTTCCAAAATTGGTATTCTTTTCTGTCCTACTACAGATATATTTGCACCACTATCTAACAGAGGGGTGATGGTAGTTCATGAAATGTCAACCGAGATATATGGCCTATTGTCCTTAGGTTTTGTTACAAAAATGAGAGAAATATTGTGAGGTTGCACAACCTTGTTCTTATAGAAATGTTCAACTTTGATTTTCCAATTGTCCCAATCTGCCTTGGAAAAGTTTTTATGCAAAGATTTTTGAAGACTGTTATTCTCACTAGTGGCTCTCTGAGATATATTCGAGGATTGGAATGAGCCAGTCCCAGACCTCGATTCTAGTTTCCATTGCAGGTAGGGCAGTCTTAGGAGATTACTTCTGGAGTTCCACATTTATAACAGAATTCCTTTTTTATTGGTGACCTACAACTTCGAAACGTATGATTCGCTAGTCCACACTGCCAACATGAAACTGTATTATTAGTTTTAGAAGCAGTAGTTGTACTTATCTCAGAATTGACTGACCTTGAGTTTTTATTCCTAACAAATGTTTTCTTTCTTGGATGAAAATTTGAATTATTTTTCTTGGATTTGGACTCCGATACCTGATTACCTGGATTCACTGAAACAAAAGCTAGCTCTGGATCCAAAATACTCGATACTGACCGAGACGTTGAAGATAAACTCAAAATATCAGCTTCTTCAAGTCGCTTGCATAAAGAACTGAGAGTGGGTACACTGTCAATTTCATGGTGGGCAAATTTTTTTTTATACTCTGACTGTAATCCTAATTTCAAATATTTTATTTTAGTACACTCAATTGCTGGTCTGCTCAATCTACTAAATAACGCTTCCATGCATGCAATGAATATTACCACGGGTTCTGTTCTACTTTGTTTCCGAGATTTGATTTGATTCCATATTTCTTCATCAAAATCGGAGGGTAAAAAGTCTCTTTTTAATTTCTCTACTGAAGCATCCCAGTCAGTAATAAGTGGTTTAATCTGGCGAAGCCAAAATGTAGCCTTCCAAGTGAAAAGGTCAGAGGCAGATTCAAACAGGTCATTTTTTGAGATGTGACGTGCTTGAGACGATTCTTCTACTCTTTCTATAAATGATAATACATTCTTGGGTTCACCATCGAATTGAATTCCTAATTTATAAACTGGCACTGTCTCAGAACTCTGTGGAATATTCTGTGACACACTATTTGCTTGTACACTAGTAGCATTCATAAAAATACTGGAATTATGAAGTGGCTGAGGGTCTATATCGCGGAAGCATATGCTTCATTTTTAAAATTCAACACCTCTGGATAGTTTGGATCTGCATTATTCAACCTGATTCTAAGTATTCGGGAACTTACATGACAAATTCGCGATACAGCCCTTTTGTAAGCTGAATCAGATGTGGGTCCATCAAAATCTTTAACTATACTATTGATAGAATTTAAAGATGTCTCAATTTCAGGTTTTTCGATTTCAAAATCATATGTAGGGTCTATCAAAGTTCTAACATCTAGATTCTGTTGTTGTTCTTTTGTCAACAACCTAGCTAATATTTTCCGTTTTTCATCTACTGGGCGGTCAGAGGTCACACCTCTTATCTTCAGTTCATAATTTAGCTCTACAGCTAATAAATGCTTAACTTTAAATGAATCCATTACTAAGTTACAATTTACGAATGAAATCCCAAGATGTCAGTGAAAAACCAAGGAAGTGACAACCTCGCAAAATTGCTTTCTAAAATTTAATATTCTAATGACCACAACAAATCAATAAAAAATATCGATCACCGAGATGATTACTGGAAATGCAAAACATGAAAACTAGTATCCATTGAAAATGGGTCACATAAAAACGATACCTTTGCTTCAACTTGCCTCAAAATAGATATCAATAGCCGCAAAAAATATTGGGAATTCCCAACTAAACGCAAAAACATCAACTCACCGCCTGCCCAGGCAAACACCTGTGATTCGTGAGAATGATAATTATATAAATTATATGAACGTTAAGCAAAATGCATTTCCTTTATAATCACACAACAAGCCAAACAGGAAATTTGGAACTAATAATCTCAGTTTTGATAGTGGAGATATACAGGAATTTATCAAAATCTTCAAAATCTCGGGCCCCACGTACTGGGCGCTAAAATTATATGTGACCAATTATTTTTTTTTTATTTTTTTTTTAAATATCATATATACAGGTATTAACAAAAAATTTCGGCACAAACTGCGAACGGCAACTCTTCGTCAGAAAACACTATGAGTTCGAATATATTATATTTTCCTTGAAATGAGATTTAGAAAATTATTTATTCCAATAAGTTTGAAGATCGATACCAAAGGGCGCCACACAGCTAAAATATTAGGTGAACATTTATCTGGCTAGCTGTGGAACCAAATAAATCTGTATAAAGGATCTTTTCTTATAACTTACCTCAGGAATTGATTAGTGAATTTGCTCATAGAAAAAAAGGTAGCTATATGCTTGAGAAATCTAAAGTGTTTGGCTTAGAGATTGTTGTGTGTTTATAAAAAAAACATAAATGGTGCTCACAAATTTGATAAAACATTTAAGCTGCAAAAATGGGTGCTCAAAAATAGTTACACAACTTCAGATGAGTAAAGCAACCAA